AGTGGATGTATTAAAATTAATTTGGTGAATCTTTAGAAACAGCCGATAGAACCACATTTACCTATTTCATCTTGTATTACTACACTGTGACATGTATGTGATGCATTCATGATTCCACAATGGCTTGGTTCTCATTTTTAGAAATAAATTTAAAAAGTATCTCCACTCACCGAGGAAATATAAACCATCCTTATTTTTCATTAAAGCTAGAGGACTTTCACAGCTTGGTGCAAGAGTATCCTACAGCAAAAAGGAAGTGAATTCGTAGCAATGCGTACATTACACTAGGGAACAAGATTTTTACCTAGAGGGGGGCAACATACTCAATTTTATGTGTAGATTACGAGTATCACAATAAAAACATTATATTACGTCACAGTTTTTAATATATCGTATCTTTTTACTGTGTTTTGCTATTAATGCATTTAGATTGCGCCTGTAAGCTATGTAGAATCAATAGGTATAAAATCTATTTAAAAATAAAATATCTGTTCAGTTTATATATGGAAATTTCATGAGATATCAACAAAATAAGGCTTTTGTGTTCTTTTTAACCTTGCGTATTCCAAGATTGCCGTCTTTATTCTCGCGTCTGGTAGTCGACCTCAATTACAAGTAGGCATTAGTGGATATTTTGAAAGCAAATCACTTGCACTTCATATTTCCTACTGCGCATCAGTCACCGAAAGGACTTATTTTAGCGCCTGACCTTATCGCAAGAATACAAGTATCCAACTGTTGGGCTGATATATTCTGAGTCTGTTGGTGTCATAAAATGAAAATAGTAATTTTAAGTGTGTAACCTAGTGAGTGTGCGAATCAACCCGATAACTTATGTTCCGTTTGCGGGAGATTTACACCAAAATTCCAAAGGAAAAAAATATATGAATTTACAAAACCTGCATATTTTTTTATACTTTGGCTGTCGTTTTTGTGATCAGGATAAACCATGGGCTGTTAATTGTGTCCCCTGTACAAAGAACCTTAGGTTGTCGTTGTACGGAAAACTCAAATCATTGCCATTCGCTCTACCAATGTTGTGGAGAATAGCAACAAACCATTTTAATATCGCATATTATAGCCCGAATATGTGTACTCAATTTTTAACTTGCTCTTACCTCATACGAACCACGCTGATAAAATTTTGTAGTAATATAACCGGAGTGACAATGCAAAACTTAGTATAGGACTCTCATTATTTCAAAATTAAATGTGGTAATATATTTTAAACTTTGCTAGATAGAAACTTTTTATAATTATTTTCGAAATGAGCTTTGTTCGTTTTCTTTGAAATCACCTACTTTCATTCTGGGGGTATGAAACATTTTTTTTGTTCCCTAGTGTTATTTTTAAGAAACAATTGTTTTAAACTTGCACGTAGGAACTTAACTCTTCATTGCACCACGCTGGTTTAAGACATCCGGTAGTTATTTTTACTTTTATTTATTTATTTACTTAACGTCAAAAACGGTTGAAAACTGTGTCTGACGTGCTATGAGAAGAAATGTATTCTGTTCACGTTTCCGAAACCCAGATATCCCCTTTTGTTAAGATTTACCTCGGCTGACTCATTTTATCCTTAGTCTTCATTAAAACTAAAAATAATTTTGAAGTCCCTAAACAACTACAAATTTTGAGTCGTTGTTCCGAACCATAACATGTATCTCTACCTAGAAGATTGTTATCTTTAACTTATCTTCGTCCCAATTTCTTTCATGCTCTTTTCTGTTAACGTACACGGCATATGTAGGCTTTAGTTTCTGCATAGCAAAAAAAAAACAAAAAAATATTACATTCAGAAATAATGCGTTAATTAATTATAGCTGTTTTGGATAGTCTCTAATAAGAATGAATAAGAATAGTCAAATAGCGGATATAAATTAGATCATTTGTTTAAATTAATTTAATTTGTCGTATACGTACGTCGTAATATAAGTAGTTTAGAGAAATTATGTAATTTGACATATTGAGATTTTAACAGAAATAAACGCTTTGGGATCCTGGCAGAGAAAAATTGTTGTTGTTTTTTTTCAAAACTTCTCCCTCTCCGTTCGTCTGAAAAAAATCTATCGTCTAAATTATTCGTAGGAGGTCCTTACAAAACGAATATTTGCAAACATTTCAAATTTGTTTAACTGACTCATACAACTAGAATTTTTAAGCTATAATTTTTTTCAAATGAAATTTGTTCTTCAGGATTAGTTAATTCATTACTGCCAGGTGAAGTTTTTTAAAATATAAATAATTCTTGCGTAATTTGAAGTAAAATAAGGGAATTATTAATAACACACAAACAAGATTTTATCAAAAACGGCTTTAAATCGTTTGTTTAAGCATTTTTGTAGAGTTAAATGCACACAAAAAATGCAAATGTTTTGATGTATCTCTCATGTCGTTAATATTTACATTACAGACATGTTTATAATTATTTTGGTTTGTGAATATAAACATTTCAAATGATATCTTATCTCGAATTTCTCAAAATATCGACAATTTTTCTACAAAAGTAAGCTCAAAATTGTGCATTTTAAGAAATAGTAAAACACTATTTCTTTGAAAGAGCTGGAAACTTTCAACTAAATATTACATGTAAGGTAGGTTTTATATTTCTATAATATTCTTGTTATATTTGAAGTCTACTATGAAAAAACTGAAAATTTGAAAAACGTAGCGTTTCCTGTTTCTGAATGAATTCAAAATTCCACGTATTTCAAACTCTAAAGCCACTCAATAAAACTTAACTGCTATATTGTTTTCTTCACAAGTCTGAATAGTGTTATTAATATATGGCACTTTCTTACATACGAAAATAGAAAATAAAACTAATCTCACAAAAATTTTAATTAGTAATCTGAATTACTGTAGAAATCTAATGATTTCATTAATTACGCTTTGTAACTCATGAAATTCGAAATATATGTGGTTGAAATATCCTATGTTTTTTAATTTGAATAATTGACCATCGTACTCGCTTCTTCTACTTCATTTTCTGACTTCAGTAAAGACTGTGCTGGTATGAATTCCTCTTCTTCCTAAAATTAACCATAGTACACATAAGAGAAGTGTATGAAAACATTAACAAGATTTGACATTAAAATTTAATTTACAAAGGGAAAAAAGAAAAACTGCAGTGAAATTTGATTACCTACTGCGCATTTATTACTTCTCTCATTTAAGTGCTTTCATAATAGAAAATGAGCAAAACACATATTTAAAACTTCCTTTTTATCAGACAGAAATATAGACCACAGTTGTAACGAACTTCAAGAAAGGATATGCCGACATTTCCTTGACAAACATTACTGTATATATGTACTAACTATAGGATTGCATTAAACAAATTCGTAGCGTTTTGATTTTCGAAAATGCATTGTATTTATTAATTGCAAAACTGACGATAATTTTAGATAATTAAGAAAGGAAAGGATTGAATAAAAGGAATCATTCGAAGATGTTTATCATTTAAGAGAAGTGCACATAATTTTGTGATGGTATAATGAAGTTCTAAATGAAAAATTATTGACTATATGAATCCTGTTCCTTACGGAACTAAAAGCCATTTAAAGATCAAAAACATAATACATTTTAAATTAAAAGTTTTAAATTTGGCCTTGAATTGAATTGAGAGACGAGTTGTGTAAGCTTGCATTTGTTGTGTTTGCAACTGATTTAATGAAAACGCGTACGAATGCCACCTAGGATAAGTTAGCTTGAGCTTATTAAAACATACTAGAAAATAATATTTATTATAATTCATGTTTTGATAGTTAATTTGTTGAATTGATTATTATCAATTCAACATACTACATATTGTCTCGAGAAATATAAATAAACAATACACAACCCAGAGCCATTTCCGTACTCAACTAACTTCCCAGAGAACAGAACCGCAAACAACAATTTCCGCTGTATTTTATCTTCTATGTGGTTAACCTGCTTGCTACACTCGCCTGAAGGTTCTAACATTTCAAGTCAAATAAATATTTACATTGGTATTTGGTTCGTCGAGTGAACTGAAAACTAAAATTTTTAATTCATCCACTTTACATTGAAAAATATAAATGGTCTAATAGTTTACTTTGTTGCCTTCAGCATCAGACTCCCTTAATTCTTCATTTTTACCCAAAGCTCACAAACTATTTTTCAATTACAACACCAAATCCAATGCTCAAACTCAGTATGGACTTCCAAAAATCCACTTCCACTAAAAATAACTCACTATGGACTTCCAAAAATGCTCTTCTTTATAGTCAGTGGGTTCTTCTTTTATCGGGATGTAACAAAGTACAACTTACTAACATTGCATTCAAATTGTATAAAACGTTGAATATTCTCCTCGAATCATGATACCTTATTAAATTAATAGTACAATATAATATATTAAATATGAAAATAAATAGTGGTTCGCTTTGTTTCATTAACGATTCTTCACTCTCGTTATCCCAGATTCATACTATTTACAATCAGTAGAACATGCGTTTTATTTGCCATTTGGTTCACAACAGAAGGTTTAACAGTATATTAAGTAATAAGAATCTACTTACTTCTTCTATTTTAATAACCATTTCCGTTAGAATATTCATTTCTTTCATTTTCAATCTAACATAATATCTTTGACAGAAATCCGCTATACTAAAGATCCCTTGAGTAAATAGTGAAAGATGTTTTAAATTAGGAGAGTTTTAAAAAACATAAAAAATCAATACTCAAACAACTCTGGAAAAAGACTTGCCAATAGTAGAGATAGTGATGGTAACGATTAATCAAAATCGATTATTAATTAATGTGATCTTTATCGATTAAATGACTGGAATCAATACTGTAATACTCTGACCTTCAGGCAAAACAAACATGGCCGCCGTATCGATAAGAAAAACTTCATTTTCATCTAGTGAAATCTTGAACTAACAGTATATCTTACCTTTTACTCGCGATAACTTCATTTTGATACTACGCTTACAATAACAGAGAGTAACTACGGCGTTAGTGATTGAGCTACTGTGCTTATAGTGCAGATTATACTCTAAAGACTGAAAATAACAGTGTTGATTGTCTCTTTTGAGTAATGCTATAGACGAAGCTTCATAAAATACGTCTGTAATGAAAGAAGTAATAAATAATACTGTATACTGCTTACATAACAATTTTAATAATTATCAACTGTGTGTTTAAACGGCAAAATAAATTCTTTTAAAATTTCTGAATTTTATATTCATCTTCTCTGCACTAACTGCATGCATGGAACAATGACACAGTATTTCCATTAAAAAAGATAGAAGAAAGTATTGTGAAAGTTGTAGGGGCAGAGAAAGTTATATTTTAAAGTCCTTTTCTGTATCAAACTTTCTGGGTTTTGAAGTTTTGAAAAATTGATGAATATCATAAATACCTCACCAACAACAAATTGTTCACAGTTTTGGCTCTAAAGATGATCTACCAAGTATTCAAATTAAATCCACCTGTTTAGGGATGCTTGATTTCTGTAAAAGTATCGATTCTGGAATCGACCCATAATCGAAGAATTGGAGTCAATTCTAGAATCGAATCGAAAGAAAAGAATCGACTCCCCAATCAAATCAAATGAGAACACCATTCAAGAAGGTATCGCACGAGCAATTGCTATTTATAAAACACAACCAGGTGTTAATTAATTAAATTTTAATAACAACAATAATTAACGAAATGAGGTGGTGTTGAACTTTACCACGGGCTTAAGCTATTAGATACGCACCTGTTAGGCGACTTCCCTCACTGCTCACGCACTTCAGACAGCGCGGCTGCACCGCTGCCCTGGCGGCCGAGGTCGCCAAGCCACGAGTGAACGTCTTTTCGGCGGGACGTGGCTTTGAGCCGCACATAGGCATCGTTGTTTATCTGTAGTGTACTGAATCGCTCCGCTCATCCATGCATATCAACTATGACTCCCCTTCGTTCTAACCCTTCGTGGGCTTCGGGGCAGGTGCTCGAGGGATATGCGCGTTAAACTGGGAAAAAAGAGCGTGAGAACAGAATAAAGGAAAAAGTGAGATGGAATAAAAGAAGGAAAAAGAGAGATAGAGAGGGAGGGGAATTAATTGAAAGGGCAACAAGGAGGAACGGGGGAAGCGAGTGTGAAGGGGAAGTCAGGGAGAATAAGAGAGGGAGGAGAATAGGGTTAAAAAAGAGAGGGAAAGTGAGTGGGAAAAAGATAGGAGGGAAGAGAAAGAGAGGGGGGAGAGAGCAGAGAAATGTCTTCCAGGAACTGCTAGTAATGTTGTAAAGTATGAAAGTAACCATTATAAATAATATTTAAATGTTTCTACATTCCATGAAAGAACGGACTTCAATAAATGTGTTGTATTTTTTGCACGATTAGTTTTTGTTATATTACATTCTGTAAATCATTCGAAAATAACGATAATTTATTTCAATTAAATAAAACAAGTTTCAGACAACAAAACACAAAACCAAAGTGACATTCTTTGTTCTATTTGTGTTATGTTTCAACATTTGTTTAAACATATGTTAAGTCATGCCATGACAAAGTATCATTTATTATGTTAGGCTTCTTTAGATCATCAATTGATTTAAATTAATTATATGGTTGATAGAGATTGATTCACTGATTGTTGAACATTTTTATAATTTATGATGTTTCATATATTAACTTTTTAGTAGAGTAATTTCTTCTTATTTGGGTTAAAACTATGTAAAAGTTTTAAAATATATATATGTTTATGTGTAATGACTAGAGTGTGCACTTTTGCTGACAGATGTCTCTGGTGCTTTCCGTTATACGTTCTGCACTGTTTGCACTCTTTGGAATAGTTCATGTATTCGCCACCAGAAGCGCTCTAGTCTGCGTTTCATGTTCACGCCGCAAACCACTCAGCGCTCAGAGAATATCGGTCCCGCGCACGGATATTTAGATTACAAATTATAAATGCACGCGGGGCGTGAGTATCTTTGCCCTGGCCAGATTCCACCCGGCCACCGCTGGGGGCGGGCGCGCCTGTTAAGAGCTCCGGTTGCCCTGAGATACCGTCCTATTCAAGGCTAGAGCAAGAAAATGCCTAGCCTTGCTCATCTAGCGCCTTTGCTTTCAAACAGCTCTTTTTAGGGCTCTATTTTCGGCCCCTTGAGGGCTTTAATGACGCCATGACGACGCTTCCGTCATCTCCCGTGCGGCCATTTTTCACCCCTACGACGGGGGCGGGGGATGAGCACGGTGGAACCGCGGGACGGACTGCGTCGAGGGGGAACAGTGGAGCGATGCCCCGATTCCCCATCAGCGGAGCCCATCTGCGCCAAAACGCCTTTTGGTTCCAAGAGGAAAAAGAAGGGAAGCGGTCTGCGGGGCGGTGGGCCCGCCGACGTCAGCCACCTCGCCGCCACCCACCGCTGCTCCAGCGGCCACCACCGCGACCACCGCGACCACCGCGCCACCCGCGCAACCCGCCGCTACTACCTACAAGGAAGGAGGATGGGTTCACGCTCGTCACCCGCAATCTTTCTCTACGGCGTGGCCGACATTTCCTGGCTCGAGGGCTTGAGGTCGGCCTGCGGCGACGCAGACATCACCGCGGAGGTGACCGACGACGCGGTCAGGGTTCGATTCGAGACCCTCGAGGCGCATCTCGATGCTCTGGTCGCCTTGACGAGGGAGCCGTGGAGTACCACACATACTCCACGGGGAACGCGAAATTTGTGAGGTATGTTCTGAGGGGCATACCTCTAGAACTCTCGCTGCAAGGGCTGCATGACAACCTTGCAAAAATCGGATTTCAGGTGCAGAAGCTGGAGCGCCTGATCAGCCAGCGACCGGGGCGAAGACGCAGAGCGTTGGCGCTGATCATAGCAACGCTGGAGGACACGGTGCGCCACCGGGCGCTCCGCGAGGTAACCAACATACGGGGGCTCCGCGTGCGCGTGGAGGTGTATCGCCCGCCGCGCGGGCCCACGCAGTGCCACAATTGCCTGGATTTCAGGTACGTGGCACGAAACTGCAAGCGTCGCACGCGCTGCAAGAAGTGCGGGGAGCTGCACGACGTCGCTGTGTGAACACCCCCTAGTGCAAGAGGGTAAGTGCTCTAACTGCCAGGGCGACAGACACGCGCTAAATACAAGGATTTCCCCTAGTATAAGCGCGCTTGTTTCAGGGGAAACCAGGCCCAGCAGCAGCGACAGGAGCGGCTACAGCGCGACCGCCAGCGACGCGCCCGCATTCAGGAGAGGAGAACGGCCGACACGCAGTCGGAGGCGTCGCGCTCTCCCTCGCGGGAGCGCGAGCCTTCGCGCCGCCGCTCCAGACGCCTACGCGTCTCGCCCCAACTACGCAACCGCCCACGCCGAGCGACTAAGCAGCAGAATGCAGCGCAGCCCCCAGGCGAACTCGCGACATACTCTTGAGCCGATACGCCGCAACGCACATCCTGAAGACAACACACAGCCCCCGCCCACACCTGGAGCCCAGCCGACGGCGCCCCACGCAGCCCGCGAGCGACGCTCGATGCGCGCCATAGAACGGCGCCAGTAGCGGACGGCGGAGAAGTCTCGTCCCTGTTCCCTCCTCCCACTAACGAAACATCGCAGATGCCACGTAAATGCGCGTGCTGCACCAGACGGTGGACGATCTCGCACGAAACGGGATCGCCCCGGATGTAGTAATGCAGACGATTATGCGATCCATCCGGATGCACGCCAGCCGAGTGGGCGTCGGTCATGCTCAAGGTTATTACAATACTCCTTGAGCATGCACACGAGACCACTGCGGCGGAAGCAAAGTGGGAGGTACGCTCATCCTCTCCCGCACCACGTCCTTCCCATCCTTAAATAATGGCTAGCTCTATTGTTTACAGGAGCAGCGGCACCGTTGCATTTGGAACTGCAACGGCATCTCTTAGAGGGCGAAGTAGTCAGACCTGCAGTTTTCTCGCTCGGCATAATATTTCTTTTACGATGCTGAGTAACGGCTTAACTCGCATCTTGCCTTACAAATTCCGGGTTCAACTGTGACAGAATCGACAGGACAGCACCATATGCAACATACGCGACTGACGCCTACAGAGGGGGCGTTACTGCAATACTAATACGACGCAACATAAACCTTTGTTTCAGTTCTCCCGCAGCTGCAGCACGCAGAGGCCACTGCTGTTGTCCTTCAGACCGAACTAGGGCCGCTGCGTCTCACGTCTATCTACGCACGCCCCGACCGCACGGCGGAAACGTACGCCCTACTAGCTGCAGACATTGCAAAACTAGTAGAGGCTAACACAACTCCAACACTTGTGGCAGGAAATTTTAATGCCAAACACTCGGTCTGGAGCTACCGCATCACCTGCTCTCGCAGCCGTACGCTGAAAGCAACCGCTGATGCAAACGGCTGCGAAATATACGCTCCCAAAACGCCCACATATTATCCCTTTCGAACGAACGGCAATCCCAATATTTTAAATATCGCGATTTGACAAAATATCAATTGCCCTCCCACAGTGACAATCTCAGAGCTGAAAACTAGAAAAGCTCCCTCGAAAACCTAGAAAAAAAACGCCATCCCTAACGACGTCCTAAAGAAGCTGCCGCAGCAGCCCATAGTGTTCTTAGTCGCTCTGTTTAATGCAATATTTGTGTTTCAGAATTTTCAGAGTCGGTGGAAACACGCACATGTTCTGACGTTTCACAAGCTGGGGAAAAACCTAAAGTTGCCCGACTCTTACAGGCCCATGAGCCTACTAAACACGCTCGGAAAACTATGTGAAAAACTAATTAAAAACAGAACTCTCAAATATGTTTCAGATAATTCACTCGCATATAAGGAGCAGTTTGGCTTTTGCGCGGGGCGTAGCACAACGCATCAGCTTGTGCGAATCACGGGCCGCAACTTCGAGGGCCGATTTACAGGAGGAGTGTTCCTCGATGTGAGCGCCTTTTACAAGGTGTGGCACGTGTCCTTTAAAAACTCCATTCCATGAACTTTCCTGTGTACTTTGTGCACCTCATCCACTCGTAACTAGGAAGCGGACTGTTCAAAGTGACGCTTCTGAATTCTAAATCTACCCACCGCGCCATACGGGCCGGAGTACAGCATGTGAGCGTACGCTGTTGCGCAAAACGTGGTCACATTACAGTTTACTTACTTTTAATCTGCACATTGAAAACGTGCCAAAGAAAGTGCGGCAGACCAGAGGTAGATTGCAAACCTTGTTTCACAAGCAGAGCAAACTGTCAACGGCAAACTGCCTCACGCTTTATAAAGCAATTATTAGGCGGCGGCTGGTTAACGCATGCCCCATTTGGACAATTGCAGCAAATGCACATTAGGATTATCTACAATTAATTCTAAACGAATGTCTCGGCCTCTTTTGCGCCCCTAGATTCATTCTTATTAAGAATTTAAATCGAGATTTATCAGTGCCATTGCTGATTGGTCATATTTTCAAAAAAGTCAAAATTTTTTGAAGCTGCCCACTCAGAAAACTCATTTCAGTTCGCCTCGTACCAATGCGACCAACGTGTGAAATATAGGTAGAAGCACTGCTGCAATAAGTCATCTGAAACACAAATGAGGCTCTAAACATTAACTTAACATTTTTGCTCAAGCTATGCGCGCCCGAGTTGGCTAGTAATTTTTGACCTTCTGTTTCTCTTTGTTGCAGGATTGACCGTGGATACCCGTAAGGGTGGATGCCCATGTAAATGGTTTCACTGCAGTGGCGTGGACGTGTATTGCACTTTGATGTGGAAGGGGTTTTCTGTTTTTTGGATAATTCTTGAATTTGTGTATTAATGTTGTTGTACACTTTGAAAGTACGCGTTCTTAAAAGATTCAAGGTAGCGTTCACTATAACCTGCTCACTTCATCTTCCTTGCGACGTTTATTAATAGCTTAAAGCATTTTATGTTGACGTCGCCCGATTAGGAGACATTAGTCATTT